AAAATCAACATCGATCGTACACTTTACATGTCTACCACAAAGAAAAGTGTACATAACTGCGTGTTAAAGCAAATTGTGTTAGCAACGATTAAGGAACACACACAATCTATGGGCGATGATGTATGCGAGTGTTACGCTGACGGATCCGTACAGTTTGGATACAAATCTGGTTGTGTTTGCGTTGTATACAAAAAATGGCTTACTACAACATCAAGTTAATATGAGAGTGCAAAATTGGGCCAGCACTACACAGACAGAGTTGGCAGGTAGAGTCCTTGCAACGGAATTCTTAATGTCTCGGGGCTCTGGAGTAGTTTTCTGTGAGTTCTTCTTTCTGGCCTTAGTGCGTGAGAAAATCGCATGAGCAGCTGTAATTTTCTAACAGCATTATGAAGGAAACGGCCATTCAGCGGCTCAAGGCTCAAATGCATCAGTGTGTTTCCCTTTGTCGCTTTCCCTCTCTCTCCTGCTGCTTCTTCCCCCCTGCTTTTCGTCAATTCTTTCTGTTCTTCCCATTACCATTCTCCCTCTGTCTCCCCTCTAATTCTTTCTCCTTGTCTCCCCTTATATCTCCACCCTCCATCTCTTCCTCCCTTTTCTTTCTCCCTCTCACTCCCTCCTCCCTCCTCCTTCCTCTTTCCTCCTTCCTCCTCCCCATCTCTCCCTCCTTCCTCCTCCTCTCCATCTCTCCCTCCTTCCTCCCTCTCTTCCTCTCTCTCTCCCTCCATCCATCCATCCCTACCCCCCTACCCCCCTCCTACTGCAAATCCTCCTCCATCTTTCCGCACACTTCCCTTCCACTCCGCCCCGCCCACGCCCCTTTTCCTCAGGGTGCCTCGCCGTCAGCGTCGGCATGAAGAGGGCGAGTCCCGAGTCCGAAGTGAATCATGAGTCGCCGCCACAATAGCGCGCCTTGTAGGGGATCTTTTGATTACGAGACTATGCTTTATGGCCTGGTTGATAGCGGAATTTTATCTTGCAATTTGTCGGGCTGGAGACGTTCGGGAGTTTGTATTTAAGGAGGGACTTACGCCCTGGTTAGTATGGGTAAGTATGGGTTGGTAAGGATTTAGTTGGGGTATTGCGAATCTTCTCGTTGGACGCGAAAATTGGATATGGGTGGGAAGTGGCAGTTTGTGTGACGCTGGGTAGTTTGGGGGGGGGGGGTGTTGGAAAGGAGGAGGGACAGGAGGGGTGGGGTGGGGTGGGGGGTAGCGGTGGTTGTTTGGATAAGCGCAGTTGGAAGAATTGCGTGGGTCAGTGAAGAAGGACGAGGGCGAGGGAGAGAATTTTGTGCGTTCGTGTTTATGCCCCTCTAGTGCGGACTCTGCCGTCGAGCCTCGGTGCCCTTACGGAGTCATGGCGCCCTCTGTCGTTAGAGAGTAATACCCGTTTTCGACATTGTGTGCACTTCGGCTCTGTACGCTAGTATGTGGTTCGCTGGCTTGTTTGTGGAAGCGCCTCGGTGGGAGAGAGTTTGTGCCTGTGAGTGGAGGTGCTGAGCCTTCCCCTTGCCCGTCCGTGCCCGCGGCCGCCGCCAGCATGGAGGTGGTGAACGACGTGCTGAGCGTGATGCAGGAGGCCATGTGGACGGAGCTGGAGCGCGACCTGGTCCTTCACGTGGTGGCCTCTCGCTACTCGCACGACCAGCTGCTGCACGCGTGCCAGCTACTGGTGGACTGGATCGGGTGGCGGGCGGAGCTGGAGGACGTGGTGCAGACCCTGTTCGAAGGGAACCACGAGGGCGGCACATTCCACAGGAGGACGACCCCTGGCGCGGCGCACGAGGAGGGCGCGTCCGCTGGCTCCAGGGACGACGGCGCGGCGGCGGGGAATCCTTTGGTGAGGAGCTCGGTGAACCCCGCGAAGAACGAGCCGCACGCAAACACAAGAAAGTCTCGCATTCCGATATTCAAGCGAGCGCCACCGACGGCCTCCGGCGCCGAGCCCGAGGGACGCTTTGTGGCAGCCACTTCGGCTGAGGCGAAAGATGAGAAGGGCTGTTCAACCGCGGAGGCGACGGCAGCCGGATCTGAAATGCCTTGCACGAAAGGGACAGTGTATGAGGGCAATGAATCGGTTGCGGGGCGCGAACACACCAACAGAAATACAAGAATAAAATGTGGGTGTTGCGCCAGTGTGTTAGAGGAGCTGTGTCAGGAAGGCAAGAGCGCAAGATTCTCCGATTCGGCGTCACATCCTACGGAGAGATTGTCCTGCAGGAGAGAGTCCTGTCGAGCGGAGTGCGGCGAGGAGTCTTGCGGGCGCCTGGGTTTGGGGGATCTTGGCGAGGAATCCTGCAGCACCTGTTGCGCCTCCGAGCCCGCCGAGATGGAGATCAGCATCAAGTCGTCCATCCCGGAAGGCTGGATAGTGCTGGAGGGGAGGCACGTCGCCATCCCGCCCGTCACCGTCAAGCTGTGGAAGCTGATCACCACCTTCTGGGACATTCTGCCGCAGTTCGTGTGCGCGCAGGAGTCGTTCGGCGCCAGTGTCCAGGAGAAAAGTCACCTGCAGAAGGAGGTGAAGGGCATTAACATTCTCCTAGAGCAGCTCAGTCTGCGTCTGAGCTGGGTGCTGCCAGCCATCAGGAAGCAGCGCGACCTCCCGCTCATGTACGAGGCGGACGTGAGCCTGGTAGACGAGAGTCTGGACGAGGACCTGGCGCATCTGAAGACCTGGGTCGTCAGAGTGTACGAGGAGTGCCTTGTGGGGGAGCTGGATATTCCTGATCTGGCGGTGGGCGGGTCGCTGGGCTCGAGGCCCGAATGCGATTCTCCTCTCAACGTCAGCACTTACTCTGCCATCTCGCAAGAAACGGACTATTTCGACGTGTCGGATCCGCTCCTGGCCGGGGAGGACAAGAACAACAACGTCGACGGCATGAATTACAACGACCCGGTCCCCATTGTGCAGGACGATCTTCTGTGTTGGCTGTGGCAGGCCGTGAAGGCGGACATGGACGACGAATTGACCGTGCATCTCGTGGCCTCGCACTTCACCCTGCAGGAAGTCCACCTGTCTCGGAATATTCTGACGTCATGGGGGTTCTCGTTGCCGTACATGAAGGGCGTGCGGGGCTTGCTCATGGAGATGGTGGGCGCGCTCCGGTCGGTCACCGACGAGAATAACAACTGTGCCGTGAAAAAGCTTCCCAAGTTCGTGTGTTGTGACGTGACCAACAGGCCTTCCGTGCGCCCCATGCGGTGGACCTGCATGAAAAGGGACCTGGAAGTGCTAGGCGACATGGCGCAGAAATTAACCACGCGCATATGCTGGCTCCTCCCCGAGGCTCAGCGCTATTCCGCGGCCATGGAGGACGCGAAAAAGGGCTCCCTGGCGCCGCAGTTGTCAGCCACCAGCAGCACCCTGGCCAACCTGAAGACCATCCTGGACTGGGAGCTGGGCGCCTCGCACCACCCGACTCCAGACGCCTGCGCGAGACCGAGACCCAGTTCGGCCTCGCAGTTCTCGGCCGCCGTCTTCCAGCCCGTCGTGCGGGACTGCAAGGAGGGGAGGGTGCTGCGAGGGGACGTGGTCGGCCTGGGGAAGCTGCAGTCTTGGGCAGTCCAGTCAGAGGGCTTCTTGGCGGAGCCATGGGGCGGGTGGCTCTGGGGGGGACCTCACGTGTACCCTGCCATGTCCGTCGCGAGAGAGAGTGACCCTGTGCCGCTGTTGCCATCCCAACACGATGCCATAGATCTACTGCATCATTGTCACCTTGCGCACAGTTTTGCCGTAGAACCTACATACACGCCTAGTAGGTAGAAGGTGCTGGAATATTAGGCTGTTTAAAAATATGGGAGTTTTTTGTGTGCGCACGTGCACATGTGCTTGTGCATATTGTGAGCGAGTGAATGCAGACTAGAATGTTTAAGGTGCAACTTTTATTATTTTTTAAAGATATCTGACAATTATGATATATTCATGACTTGATATCATTATTTAGTTTGGATAGATATTGAGTATCATATGGATCTAAGGAGCTTGATAGTTTGTTGCAGAATCTTTTTTTGTGAAACGAAAGTTGCAGACATACCCGATCAAATTAGATCGACACACAAAAATACCTGAGTGTTTGAAAAAGGAAACTCAGATGTCCACATTTAAAAGTATTGGATTTGAATAATAGATTTTTAGAGATCTTAAATCCCTACTGTACACTTGTGAAGTCTCATTATTTACTCATTAGCTTAGATGATGATGATGGTGAAGTGAAAAGCTGTACGAGGTCAAGGTTAGGATTTAGTAAACAAATGCAGTTTGTTGTGTGACTAGATTTTTACTTTTATGTTAATGCCAAATAACCAAAAAAAGGACTGGTTGATTAAGACCATAAATAGATGAATACATTTTCATAGCCAACAGGAAAATGTCAGAGGCAGGCACTTGGTTGGCTGCTCATGTTAGTCAAATAGTTTACTTTGTAAGCGTTTAGTCTGATATATATATAATGCAATATAAATATTCAGAAAAAAATGTGCATTGCGTTTGTGATGCGCACAGGTATATCCAGAAGATATTGAGATTTTAAAAAATATGAATGAAGTATATTGTCGCTAATTGCAAGAAAGACCAGTTGGCTTAATCACTATTACTTTGAGATTTTTCCTTTCATCTTAATAAAATGGGATTTTGAATCAGATTTAGTATTGACTATGCAACGCACGGTCTTCCTTTTTGGTTGCAGTTTTTCCACGTTTGTTTGCAAGACTCGCATCACCCTAATTAATGTATATTGAGACCATTTTGTTTTTATAATTTTATTTCTGGGTTATTTATTTATTTA